TGGGGTTAGTAAGTCCTAAGGTGGGTGCAAAATCAGATTAGGCAATAGTGAACTACCTGTGTATAGTAAGCTACGCCAGGTTAGGTAGTATCCATTGGTTTGGAAGTAGGTTATGGTCAGAGGGTTTAAATGGATACCCCCTAGTTGGGGTACAGGTATGGCAGATAGTGTAGAACCTTCGGGCGAACTACTTAAATTAGGCACTCAAAAAGTGCACGTGTGGTTATATGTATTCTTACTGTAATTGAAAAACATAACCATCTAATAAAACGTTCCTGGCCAAAGAGATCACCTTAATACCAGAAAAATATATATATATATATATAAATTAATCAATCTTAGCTTAGCTCTCAAGAATGATGAGAAAACAAAATTCAATGTATAAAATTTAATATAGAATCTTTGGGATTTTCTGATCGAGTTAATTCAGAAAAGTTAGACCAGAATGCTAGTTCTTATTTATATATAAATTATCTTTTGCTTGATAGTTTATTAAATAAACTGTTAAATTAGTAAAGTAAAAGATGTTTTACATATGAATAAAAACCAACATTCTGGTCTAAACTTTCTTAATTAGCCCAATTGGAAAATCCCAAAGGGTGATTTTCTTAATTAAATTATTTGTACTAAATAAGTTTCAAAATAATTTAGCTCATTCGATACAGTTAGAAGAAAAGAATTGACAAGTTATAAAACTAATGGCGGAGATCAAAAAAAAGAACAGAGAGAATTATAATCTAAGGACACATTTTTTAGAAACAGAAAGCTTTATTTCAAATGTACAGGAAAGATTTAACAAATTCCCATGATAAATCGGCATAAAAAAATCAATAAAAAAATCAATAAAAAAACAAAAAAAAACAAAAAACAAAAAAAAAATTTAGATAAGTTTTATTTAGGAGGATCGAAGAAAAAAGAAGACGAATTTAAATAGAAAAAATTGGCAGAGATGCAAGTGGAACAACAACGATTAATATGTCACGATTAGGCGAGCCTTATATTTAGCTTGTTTTAAATGTTTCATGACATCATATGTGTTACGATGAAGATGCACTTAAAACTTAACAAAAATTAAAAGGCAAGCAATTTTATGATAGGATTTACATAAATAATCTTAGCAACGAATTGTTAATAAACCCTTCCCGACATTTAAAATTGAAAAAGACTCGGGTATTACATTATTATTCTAGATATATATGTGTATAAAAAGATTTGAGATCCTTATAAAAATAATACAAGTATTAAAACTATGTAAAGTACGCAAGGTTAAGTTTGATCTGTTAAGTGATAACCTTTAGTGTTTCGTGACATCATATCATGTGCATAAGGGTTGTGCTCCGGATGATCATGTGATTATCCGGAAATCAATACATAAAAACAATTTTATTTTATATTTCGCTTTAATATTTTGCTTTATACTTTGCTTTATAATTCGTTCCATACTTCGTTTTATACTTTGCTTCACATTTCGATTTATATTTCGCTTCATATTTCGCTTCACATTTCGCTTTATACATTGCTTTATAATTCGCTTCGTACTTCGTTTTATATTTTGCTTCCCATTTCACTTCATATTTCACTTCCAATTTCACTTCATATTTCGCTTTATATTGCACTTCATATTTCACTTCATGTACTGTACGTACGTACGTACTTACAAATTTCAAATACTCTACATTTACATTCGAAAGACTTAAAAAATATATTATAGGAATTAAGGCTCATGGAAAACTAATTAATTGATTTCATAACCTGTCCGGTCAAATTTGGAAACTTACAAAAAAATATTTTCATAGACAAAATTGAGCTATAATTTGGCCATGTTATATTGTCGCCCGTATTGATCAATCAACCTAAATTTTAACTATATTTAGCAAAATTATAAGTTTCTGTAAAGAAGCAGATGTATTATAATTAGAGCTCTCAAGGATTAAGAATGTTTCGAATTTTAAGATATAACCATATTTTTTGAAATACTGAAATAGGCATGAAATGACTTTTTTTTCTCCTTCTCTTTGATACTACAATGAATTACATCACGTTAATGTGCTATTAAAAACAAGAGCCATAAGAACATTCCGCCCAACACTTAGGATGTACTGTATGTGTATACACGCAAAAAGAGACAAGTTCGAGATTTTCTTTTTTTTAGTTTTGGCGCAGCCATCGATCGAGGTTAAGCAATGCCTGATAACCGATTAAGACTACAGCTAAGCGGTCATAAACCAACCGACAACCGAACGTGATTGACTGCGGTTAAGCGGTCATAGACCAATTGGCCACTTGTACTTGGTACGAAATTGAGTAATATATATGAGTGCTGCCAAGGGAAAAGGGTACATCAGGCATTATACTATAAAGTTTTTTAAAACTTTAAACAAAGATATATTAACAACCACTCGATCAAATTTGATAAAAAATTTTTTTTATTTGAATTAAGTAATTGTTAAGATATCTTTGATTAAAGTTTTAAAAAATTTTATAGTATACAGTAATGCCTGATGCGTATATGCATTCAAAAATTGGAACTGGTTTAAGAATTGATTCTACTACCGATTTTCAATCAATTTGCGCTAGTGATACAAATCCAGGAAAAGAAATCTAATTTGGAGTGCATGAAAATAAAGTTAGACAGGGCTGCAAATCATATATTGAACAACATAAAATCCAAAATAAGGACATGAGTAATGGAAATCTTTAAAATTATTTCTTTAGGGCTAGAAGTATTCCACATATGGGGACCCCCACAGCAAAAAAAGGCATTGGGCAAAAAAAATTTTTTTTTTTAAACTTAATTTCTCGAAAAATTGAAGTATTAAAAATGCAATTTTTATAAAATTACAAAATCAAAATTTTTTGCCCAATGCCTTCTTTTGCTGTGGGGGTTCCTATATGTAAAATTACATTCTCAACTTTGCAGGGTTAAATGATACTACCAAATATCTAACTCAATACTTGTTGAAATGAGTCACAGCGAAAATGAAATAAACTAAAATAGGCTCTTAAAACTTGCACAAAACTTCTTCACATTTCCCCTTTTTACTATTTATTTATGACGTTCGCATTATTATTTACATTGTCATCTATGTACATTGCTTTTTGCGTTGTTCACGATTAATAATTCATTTCTACACTTTTGATTGCGTCACCATCCCCGTGGAAATTTGTACTCTTATATGTTTTTCTTCTTTTTGTATGGTCGATTTGATTTTTTTTTGGTAGCACTCAAATAATTTGTGCAATTTCTACTATAAAGATTTTTGAAATATGACAGATTTAGATTGATTGTACAGTAGTCGGAACATTCCTTCATAAAATGTAATTCATTTATAAATAAACGATGATTATGAAAAAAGATAGGATTTGATTTCTTTGCATAAAATTAACAATTATCAAAAATAATGGTATCGTTTAATTTTCGCCAAAAATATTATGAGACACCTAATTTCTATAAGATTCGGCTTGGCGTTATTATCATCACTATAACTTTGTTTCTCTTATATTTGGCTTATTTAATATATGTTATTGTGACTGATAAGCCAATCACAAAGACAGAATATATATTTATGAATGAACTTGATATACCAGGTAAGCCAAACTTTAAACTAGAAACTGAATTCAATTCGAATAAAAAAATCTATACTTATCAAAAACGTCAATTGTTTTTGATTTATAATTGTAATATATATATGTGTGTTGTAGGTGGAAACGGAATTTAAGTGGATTCAGAATTTATATTAAAAAAATTTTCGGGGTTGATTTTATCATATGTACACCCTAACCCTAACCCTAATTTAACTAGAAAATTCCAAATCCATTTAAATTTCATTTCCACTACGACATATATATCTAAAAGAGAGTAACTTGATTTATTACATAATCACAAAACAATAGCATTTAAAACTGGCTAAGTGCTGTGATTTAATTATTTGTTTTGATACTTAAGTAAAATTCTTAAAAAGTTTTTTTTTCTAATTAGTCCTGACTAACTTTATTTGAACGCCTAACTTCATTGTCAATTGGGGTCTTTGCCTTGAAAATGACCTTACGGTACATGATACCGTAAGGTCATTTTCAAGGCAAAGACCCCAATTGATATAAAAATATATGATATAGAGTGTGATACCAGATGTAAATCATTCGAATATTGAATCAGATTCAAATTCACCTTATAAAATCGATACATTATTTGAATTATATCATATAACAAGTTTGAATCTAACTTTTTTACTTTGTTTGTAAATACTTTAGATATATCAATATGTTCAAGTTTCAGTGGTTTACGCATTTTGAGATGTGATCTTAAATGGAGTGATTTGAATGTTTCGAGTTTCGACAATTGTAGTACTTATATTATTCCGGAAATAATGGATTTTGGGGACCGCCGTGATTTTTGCCGAATGTTCAGGGCTAATAAAACTGTCAAGTATACTGATCCTGAAAAGGAAGTATATGGATTACGTAGAATTGGTTTCTATTTTCAAATAACAAATTTGACTGCTGCAGAAGAAACTTCTCTTGGAATAGCTTCAATTTCTATTCAATTGACTTCTCCTGGTTAGTAACATTGTAAATATCTTATTTAGTATTATCCTATCTCTGACTATCTTTAAAAACAGATTTCAATCCATTGATATATCCTGGGCAGGACATAGATAATATGGAAAAAGCGCATAAGTCGCTTTTGTTGCTTCAATGGAACTTTATTTCTGCAATGGCTGGTTACGCTACAGTGGTTAGACATCTTTATTTCTTGTTAGTAATTTGTCAATTATACTATTTTTAATATATTAATATCTCTTTTGTGGTTTAGGTAAGATTTACCACAAAATCATATAAGTCTATTATTCCGGCTAGCATTGGCGCTATTACCGGATTTGAGACAAATTATAATCAAGCAACATTTATAGAAAGTGAAGTAAGTCAATTTCCTTTTAATAAAAATCCATTTAATATGCCAAATGGGACATCTGGTTATTTTTCTGTTTCCGCTGGAAGTTTTATTCAAGAGGAAACTATTGAACAGCGGTAAATTAGCGAATTATTATTATTATTATTATTATTATTATTATTTTTAAGGTACTATCATAATTTCTAACTACATATTTCTATTTATAAATATATCTAGAACAACTATTATCCTCGGTATTATTTCATCAGCTGGTGGCTTTTTTGGTCAGTATGCTTAGTTTTGTTCAATCATTATATAGATTAACGAATTACAAGCTTACCATTCTTTTAATAATAATAGGTGCCATAATGACTATTTATTCACTTTTATATGGTAAATCGGCATTAAATCCGTGGGGTATAATTCATAGAAGATTTGTTCCTAAAAAAAAATTAAAATTTGAATGTAATAATGCTTGTGAAGGTCAATGTAGGTGCATTGAAAAAAAAGTTTCTGAATTTATAAGTTTTTACTGGTCTATGCCAAATGGAATAAGTAGTTTTATTAATGAATAATGTTTATGTAGCTGTAACTTTCATAAAGCATTTTATCCGACAAACTCATATAATCATGAAAAACTTTCTTTTTGTTATTTTTTTTTATGTGTTACGATGTAATTATGTTTATTCTAATATTCAAATTAAAAACTCAGCTAGTAACTCCCTACCAATCATGGGCAAATTGTCGAATACGATAATTTGACAAATGATTGGCTACACGTGCCGCTTTGCGGCACGTGTTCATTTGCCAAATTACCGTTATTCAACAATTTTTGCCCAATAATGTATACATATACATAAAATTAGACTTCAATGCTAATAACTTAACTATTAATTCTTTTGTATGTAAATAGAAACACCATGTTTAATTTTATAACAATATTTTAAACAGAAAATAGAAATAAAATCTAACTTTAACAAATGCTACTGCTAACAGTTTGCATTGGCTAAAGTTGAATCTAATACATCTAATTTGCAGATTTAGCCCACAGCATAGTGAGAAAATTATTTCGAGCTATAGATATGAAAAATTCTGTGCTAGACATTTCAGAACAATATGCGAGTAAGGCAAAAATACTGCTAATCTCAGAATAACATTAAATATAGTATATGTCTATAAAAAGAAATTCAATAATGTGCTTTATTTCTTGTTAATTATAAATATATAATTAATTTTTAAAGTATCATAATACAATTGTTAGTTTCTTAATACTGTAAAGTAGCAAATGCAATTCGTTTTGTATTACAGAGAAGATTTTAAGAATAAATAGCCAGAAAACATTTAAATAATATTACAAGATAGTGCCTGTATATAGATATCTGCTTAGCTTATCTAATAATAGAGATATTATGTATATTTCAAATTAATAGATATAATAAGCTGAAGCTTGATATTATTTATAAAAAATAGGTGCTAAAGCATTGATTTATAAATGAAGTTTGCCTTTATTGCATTCATATTTCTTCTATAGAAGCAACATTTTTTATGTCTAATAACAATTATATCTATATTTTTATTACAATATGTACAGTTAAATTCTTTTATTTGTAATATTTTATGACTTTTAATCTTTTATTGGGGTTTTAAAAAAGAAAAAGTTTCACACGAAGATTTACCAAATCATTGACAAAATAAAATTGCTTATCATTATATCAATAATACTTATAATAATTTACTTTTCAAAAAAAAAAAAAGATTTTTTTTTTTAACAGCCTTCGCAAAATTTTCGTTTCCGATTTGTTTAAAAAAAAAGAGACAAAATTGAGGAGCTTTTTTTGAGAGTCGTCCAGTAACGAAACTTAACATTCCCTTATTGCACCTTCGCTGTAGTGGCATTTAACAGTATCATGCACAAGCATTTTCTAAATTTTATTAGACAATTGCGATCCTGAATTATTTCCGGTTTAATTAATTAACTAAAGCATTTTAGCCTTACTAATCTAAAGGATTTTGAAAGTGTGAGTATTGCTATATTTAAACTTGATGTTACATGAAATATTTGAATACTATCGAACATTCACCACAACGTAAGTTTTCGATATTCGATTGAAGGATTTGTAATCTAGAAAATTTTATCTTTATGATTCCTTAATTATTCGAAAGAAAAAAAATTTTTTATAAAAAATTTAATTATCAATTATTTCATAAATTTAAAGTTAAATTATTATTATTTATATAATTATAAAGTCATATAATTTATTAATTACTAATTATGTAGTATAATAAGTTTAACTGCATTAAAATTCGTCCTACAGTAAGTTATTTCAATCGGTGGATATTGAAAATAACATGTGTCGACTGTGAATCGACAAATTTTGTGATTGACGCAAAATTTTAGATCGTATAAATTATTTGTAAAGCGTATCATAATTAAAAGTTTTAATTTAAATTACAAAAAAAAATTTTTAATTAACAGTTCTGACTTATAACTCATTAATGTTTGCAATTATACAAAGTCTTTAATTATAAGACGCTTCTCTATTAGTCATACTACAATAAATTCTCCACTCGAATATCGAATATAGATTCTACCACTACCAGCGATTAATGTTACCACACCTTTATCTCTACTCTTATTTACCAATCGTTCAAAAAATGCTTATTCATTACATGCCTAATCTCTAGACTTTTATCTCCCTTTTATTTGTCACCATACCTTATCTCCAGATCCTTACCCCCTTCTTGGTCCCTTATTAATAGAAAATAAGATAGCTGCGCGACGTTGTCACGCGAAACCAGGAACGTAAGATGGGAGTAGTGCTATGTCTAGAAAATATTTTTTATGCTAGTGTATTATAATAACTAGAAAGTAGACTAAATGTAAGCTCTTTAAAGGCATATTAAGCTTAGGCTAGGTATATAGGTGATCGTTATATATGTGCTTTTTAAAAGCACCGGCTTAGAAGTTTAATATTTTCATAATATACTATTCTTAAACGTGTGATTATTAATTGCTTAAGGAAGAATGAAACAATAAAGATGTTATAAAGGTATAGGAATTGTGGTTGTTTGTTTTGGCTATTTGGATTGGTTAATGTTTAGGTATTTATTAATATTAATTTATGATATGTTTA